TTTTTTTTGGGTACTGGTGATTGAACTTGGGTCCTTGTGCTTGCAAGGCAGGCAGTGGAACTACTGAGCTAAATACCTGGCCCCCAGCAAGCTTTCTGGTCTCCTGCCAGTACCTTCCCAGCAGGGCCTGTGCAGGCTTCTCTCTGTGTGCTCGGCATCGCTGCAGCTTGTGCATCTGGTGATCCCCTCTGCTTGCCTGGGTCTCCAGGAGGGCAGGGGTGTGTTACCTAAGCACTGAGCATGGCAGGAATCCTGGGAATGTCTTGGGATGAAGTCCCTCTTCACATCTCCCAGGAAAGCCCAGAAGGTTCCCAGACTTACCAGAAGATCTGGGTTGAATTTCTGTCTAGTCATTATTATTGAAAGTGTGTGAGCAACTTTATATTAAGACACTAAGTTTAAGAAGTGACAAGTAGGCTTTAGTTCATGATCCATTCTGATGGATCCATTCTGGTTATTACAAATCTTCTGTAACTAGTGGGGAAATGTCTGTGATCAGTTAGTTTTGCCCGTCCTGGGCACAGGAAGGGATTTTCTCAGTTCATGAGCTGAATGTATGTCACATCTGTCCTGGCAGAGAAAAGGCCAAAAAGGATCATAAAGGATTCATAGAGGGTCTTATGAGTTACATTTCCCCCTCCAAAAAATATTCCTCTGTTGATGTCTTGACCTACAGTGCCTCAAAATGTGACCTTATTTGGAAGTAGATTCTTTGTGTATAAATTAGTTAGGGTACGTTGGAGTCATATTGGAAAAGGGTGAGTGCCTCTGCCAATAAGACCCATGTCACTGTGAACGAGGAAATTGAAACACCTATTGTGTGAAGACAATGTCAGAGATCAAAATGAGAATTGAAGGAGGGAAGGGAAGGAGGAAGGAAGGGAAAGGAAGGAAAGAAGGGAAAGGAAGGGAGAGAGGGAGGGAGGGAGGGAAAACGGAGATGAGAACCATTTTGCTTATGAATGTCCTTAATGAAATGGTAAACATTGCAAGCCCTGTTAAACTCAGGTCTGGAGAGTGTGTGTGTACCAGATCTGCTGCTCACCCACCACAGCAGTGGTCTCAGGGAAAGCGCACAGTGGCCGTTTGGGCCATGAGCTGAATTAGCTGCTTTTTTCATGCAGAAGCACCAAACTATGGCTATTCATTTAGTATTTGGCACGTATCTTCTCAAAAACTAAATAAATGGGAAAACAACTGGCAGTACATAGTATCAATGGTAAGACTCAAATTTTCTAATGAAAATTTGAATTTTTGCAAACTTTCATCCACCGTTGTGACCTTGACCAACATCTCATCATATTTCTGATGAGCTCCATGGCGATATTAACAAGTGAGTTTTTTCTGTTGAATAATATACTGTGTTAACATTTAGAAGATCTGTATAATGTGGTAAAATAATATTTTCTAAATGACCAATACATGATATATACAATTATATGTGGATAAAAGATCTTTCCAAAGATTTAACCAATATATTAATATAACAGTATGAAAAATTCATAGGTATAGCTTTAGGTTTTATATTACCCTGTTCCCTTTTGTAACTAAACTTTAAGAAAGTACCATCTGTCATGATTTGGAAAAGTACCAAAGAAAAATATCTGCAATATTCTGAAAATATTCTTCCTTTTCTTACTACTAAACTATGTGAGGCCATATTTTCCTCATGTATCTCAACTAAGACAACATACAGTATTCTAACACTGAGTGCACAGCAGATGTTGTTTACTATTCTGAATAAGAAGAGAGAGAGAGATCTTAATCCACAAGCAGTACTAGTACTTAAGGAGAAACCTGGAGCCAAGAATGGCCACTGTTTTTCTTACTATTCAACATCGTACTGATAATCCTTACTTAACGATGTACCTGTTTAATGGCTGGCCTTAAAACCAAGGTGTGCTGTTCACACTTCCCACCTGCCACTCGGACTTGTGATGCAGGAATGTGAGTGCCAGTGCATGCAGCCTTGTGGTTGTTTACTCTACTGCACGGTACTGTAAGTTTTGCCAATTGTACTGTCTGGTACAGTACTATAATTTTATGTTCTGTTGTACATCGTGATACTGCATTTATGAGTTACGCAAATAAAAGCAAAGTCATCAAGCTGGACTTTCCTTTGGTCATTTCTCTGTTGTGAATATTGTACACATATATACACAACCAATTCAACAACCTAGTAGTGGGAATGAAAGTTGGCTGTTAAATGCAGAATGTCTGTAATAGAGCTACAGCAATGAAATAAGAAAAACTAGATGCAAATTAATGTGTGAAAAAAGAAAAAAATACCTTTATTTTCAAATTGTATGACAGTACACTTGCAGGACTCCTGTGAATCAGTGATAAAACTGAGGCAGCAACTCAGTGGGGCAGCACAACACATTGTTAATACAAAAAATTAGTAGCCTTGAACAATAAACTCAATAAACTGAGTATAATGGCAGCAAAAACCCATTTACATAAGATTATATACTTAGGTATACTTTTAATAAGTATAAAAGCACAAGTATATATGAGGAATCATTTAAATGCTCCTGAGATACACAAAAGTAGAACTAAACAAATGAGAAAGCATCCCCTGCAGGGGATGGACAGGGGGCTTCAACATTATAAAGGCATCGGTTCTCCTAAAGTTAAGTTACGTGCTTAATGCAAACCTAATGAAAACACCATCAGGCTATTTTATGGAGTTGGATAAGTTGACACCAAAGTTCATGTGGAAAAATGTATTTTCAAAAATAGCCAAGGAAGTACTAAAAAAGAAAAGTTGCCAAGGAACTCTTATCAGATGTTAAAACAGCAGTAAAGCCTCTATAACTAAAATGCTGTGGCATCAGTGCTAGTCTATACTGTTGTACAGGCGAACAGAAGAAAAGTTCAAAGTCAAATGTAGGCATATGTGGAAATTTATTATGGGATGGAGGTGGCATCTGAAAGCATAGGTTTTTTTATTTAAATTTTTATCAGTAAATTTAGATTTACATAATGATTTTATCTATCATAGGGAATTTGTAATTTCACATGATGTATGCTGATTCCTTTTTTAAGAGCACAGCTTTAAATGTCTGTGGGACAACTAAAGAGCCACTTTGAAAAAGTTGCAATTAGTTGTACATCATATACATTAAAGAAGAGTAACTTTGCCTGGACTAGGGATCTAAATGTAAAAATAAAACCATAAAAGTATCGGAAGAAAACAAGGATGACTTTCACTTTAACCTCAGTGTGAGGAAATGACTTTTGAAGGTAATTTTTAAAAAAGATCGATAAATCTATTACATAAAAATTTTCAAAAATTTAAATGACCATAAGTCAAAAGACAGAACCACGGGATGAACTTATTCTTGACATATACCACAAAGGCTGATATCCCTAATACACAGGGAGGAATTAAGAGATTACCAAAATCCAACAGAAAAATGGGGAAGAAACACAAGGAGACTACTCACTAAAAAGCAAGATAGAAAATGGGCCCTCCATTGTGAAGTAACTCTCACACACATCATCATTAGAGAAATGTAATTGAAGACAACTCTAAGATGTATTTTCTCACCTGCCAGACTGACAGACATTCAATGCATGATGGGACAGCACATTCTGTCAGCCAGCACTGTGGAGAATCAGACCTCTCTTGGGTTGCCGTGGGAAATGCAACCCAAAACGCTTCTAGAGGGCAATTTGACAAAACAAAGCTACATCTCTGCCTACTTTTTGACTCAGCAGCCCCACTGCTAGGCATCCACCCTGAAAATACCACTTGGTGGTAAGGAAATGCAGGTGCACAGAGTTAGCCATGGCGGCATTGCTTCCCCTTGGAGGATACAGGCACACCTCTGTGTTTGTACACAGGAGAGTGTGGCTAAACACATACAGCTTCTGCACACAGTCAAGCCCTGTGCAGCTCTGGGAATAACCTAGGAAGAGGAAGCTCTGTCCACAAATATGGAGGAATTCCAGGGCCTACTGTAAAGCACAGGCAGTAAAGCCCATGAAAATGCATTGCACACTGCTCTTCATGGCAGAGAGAAGGGCATTTAAGAAAAGATCTATCTTTCTGCACATTTGTGCAAAGGTAAACCAGAAACTAGAGAGGTTGGTGATCTCTGCCCAGGGATGGACAGGAGACGGGGAGGTGAGTGGGGAGCAGGTGTGACGTGTCTGTGGCTCTCGTCACTGTGGGCCTCAGGTCTGGTGTGGAAATGCTGGTTGTGTCAGGCAGCATGGAGGAAGATTTCCGCAACAGCACTGGCCCTGTGGATAGGAAACCAGATTGCTCGTTTCTCTGCCGTAGTCCTGATCACCTGCAAATGTCTGTGAGCCCTGTGCTATGAAGATTTCCAGTGCCAGACCTTTCCTGGATCTAACAGAAGACTCTTGTGTGACCAGTGAGCAGAGCTGCGCTACCCAGTTCCTTCCTACCTAGAGCACTGGGTGTGGTGCTTCCCTAGTGGTGTCTCCTTTCTTGCCCATTAAAAACTTGACTTTCCTTCACAGGGGAAATGTGGGCTGTGTGCGTTTGCCTGGCAAGTTAAGAACTTCAGCGTCAGTGTTTTTCTTTTTCCTTTTGCTTCTGATGGTCTGTGATTCTTTGTCGACAGAGAAGTGAAATATTTAGATGACATGGAAGCCCCACCTAGGCTTCTTCCTGAAGTCCCCTTTCCAAGTCTTTCAGCAAAACTGTGCAAATGCACAGATAGAGGAATTTGCATTTTGTCTTCCTCGCTTTGCTCTGCAAGATCCACACACAGATGAGATGTGATAATGTACCAGGAGATTATCATAAGATGCCAGGTGGGGGGCAGAGTGGGCAGGGGGCTGTTTAGCGCCTGTCCCCTGGGTGGCCATAATGGGCCTGTAATGGGTGCCCCTTGGGCCCATAATGTCAAATCACAGCATGATCGCAGAAGTGAGCCCTTCCCCTTGACCTGGGCTGTGTTAATGGCTCTGGCCTCTCATTTCAGGAATGACGATACCCGAAGAAGATGCTGATGTGGGACAAGGCAGTAAATATTGCCTGGTGGCCATCGGGAGGCTCCAGGTGAGAGAAAAGCACAGTCTTTTCCATCTCAGATGAGACTTGTGATTGCAAGGAGCAAGAGACCGGGATAGGATGTCCGCTCTGATCTCCAGTGCTCAGTGTTTATGGGGTTTTTTGTCTCACTTGGGATGAGGCTGAGGCCAAGTCTGAAAGGAGAAGAGGGCGAGTTGCACAGAGTGCACTTTGGTCCACCCCTGCCTCACTGGTCACCACAGTGAGCTCTGTCTGCATCTGTCCCTGCTTAACCCCTTCCAGGTCTCCAGGGCCCGGGGCAAGGCCCAAGGTCATCATTCCAGCCTCACCACCTCCCCTTCCTCTCCCCACTGCTTCCTGTACACAGTCCACACACTCCTCTTCCAGACACCCACAACCGCCTCCCATCCCCGAGGGTGCCCACAAGCCAGTTCTTCTGCCTGCTGTGTTCCGTTCTCTTCTCCTCCTGGAGAATCTCCTCCTCTTGCCCTCACCTATTCACTCTGCTAGAACCCACTAAAGTGTCACCTGGTCTTGTCAGAGCCGGTCGCTCCCTCAGCCCAGTACCAACCTGTGACCTCCAGGATCACCCTCCTGTGATCGGTCTAGCTGTAGTCAGCTGAGTTTATGCTCCCCCTTGGGATCCTAGGGTAAGGAATATGTCCTTTCACTTTGTGACAGTCGGGTATGCTCAGTACCAGACAAGTCAGGTACCAGACAAGCACAGGAACCCTTGAGTCAGCTGGGCCATTAATGATGGGTGTAGATGAGGACGTTGGCCATTTTCATCCCTGGTTTCCAGACAGAGGAGCAGGTGGTTTCATTCATATACAACAAATAGGGTGCATGCTGTTGGTGCAAACCATCTCTTTTCCAAAGGTTTAACTGTTTCCCTAGGCTCATTTGACATTCAGTAGAGGAGAAAGCAGAAAGGGCATTACCACCTTTGATCTTTGATCACCAGCTGTGCCAGACAGGGTTCCAGGCTTCCCAGTGAGACCTCTGTCCAGCCTCACCACCCAGTGAGGCTACATCTTTCATCATCATGTTGGCAGAGAAGGACACTGAGGCTCAGAAATGCAAGGAAAGTGACCCACTTTTGGTGACATGGGTCGTAAGAGCCACGTAGTGAGCACTATGCTGCTTGTCAGTGACATGGAAGGATGTATGGGTCTAAATTGACATCCCTGGTTGTCACTTCTCCTCTGCCTCTGTTGGTGCCACTCAGCTGGGCTGTCCTGTTGCAGGTGACCAGCTCTCCCGTGTGCATGGACATGAATGGGATGTCGGTGCCCACGGAGTTCCTGTCCCGGCACAACTCTGATGGGATCATCACATTTGTGGACCCGAGGTGCATCAGTGTGATCGGCTACCAGCCCCAGGTCAGGAGCCAGCAATGAGCTGTGCCTCAGAAGTATTTATGACCTTGGTTCAAGGTAGACACAGTGACGCTGTGGAGAAAGCAGGGACACCTATGCGTCCTGCCTGGACAGGGCGCCACCCTTCCAAAAAGAAGTTCATTTTAAACAGCAGCACTGCTGAGGCTGACCCCTTATCCTTTCCCTAGCATTCTGTTTCTCAGCTGATTTTTCAAAGCAGAGTTCAGATTGGTCAGTCTGTACTATGAAGTGTATTAACAGGAAGGCATCTGCAAAGCCTTGTACAGATGCCCACCTAATTTTGCCTAATCCCTCTGGGAAACCTTTGTAACCTGGGGGCACATGTTCAGGCCTTTGTTGTAGACTCTTTAAAACAGAAACATGAGAGAGCAGGCGTTAACTGTCCCAGATCAGGGCCAGAGAGATGGAGTAACTCTGCACATTGTGTACTGTGTCTTGGGCCTGGAGATGTCTAGCTGGAAAAGAGGTTTGGGAGACAGCTTAAAAATTACATGCACAGAACATTGGGCAATTCTATCAATTAACAACTTTCTTAGGTGTAGTGTGGTATATCGAAATTTTGCAAGCTAATTTTTAAGATATACATGCTAAAATACTTTGGGGAATGTGTAATGATGTCTGCAACTTACTGTGAAGTGGTCTAGCAGGAAGTTGTTAAGTATGTGTACACATATGTGAATGTGTGTGTATATACATAATTAAAAAGGAAGAAACTGCAAAAGTGGCAAAATATTGACATTGCTTGAATCTGTGTAAAGGATAGGCAGGTGTTTACTATACTATCCTCATAACCTCTATACAGATTTAAATTTCTTTCAAAATAAGAATGTTTTTTCACTTTTTTAAAAGACGGTCTTGAACTCATTATGTAGCCCAGGCTGGCCTCAAACTTTTGACGAGCCTCCCAAGTGCTGGGATTACAGGCGTGTGCTACCACACTTGGCTAAGAATAATTTTTTTAAAAATCCACCTTTGTTTTGATGAACCAGCTTTGGGATATGTGCATTTTAATTACATGTATATTTTATTTTTTGATGATTCTGGGCATGGAACTCAGACCCTCGCATATGCTAGGCATGTGCTGTACTACTGAGCTGTGTCACAGCCTCTCATGCATATTTTAGAACTAGAAATAAAACAAAGCACAAATATTAGAACTCCTCATATAATTCTGTATCTCTAGACTCATGCAAACGTTAAGATTCGTACATGGAATAAGCAGGAAAAGTGATCTCTTCCGAATTTCACCATAACCTCCAGTGGCACTGTTTTCAGGCAAATCCATTTATCTCCCTCTGTTCCCCTGAGCATCCTGGTCTCCTGAACAAGCTGATAAGACTTCCCATCACAGCTACTTCAGCTCCCATGCAGGCAGCAGGCCTCACATGGGTTCTGATCTAGCAGTCAGTTTACATTTTTGAAGGCACTTCCCACTGGACCAGGTTCCTAGAACACATGTGAAGTTGCCTTTGCCTTTGGTGGTTTAGTTACCGTGCCCTGCTTTACGGTGAAACAAACTTTTGTTTGGGGTCAAGGCTGGGTCCTCTGAATAAAGCAGACGTGTGAAGGTACAGAACAAGCAGGCTTCTAGCAAGAACGGTGGTTTCACAGAACCTTACTTCCTTGGCCACCAGACAGCTGTGCTTTCTACTTTTAAACAATTTCAGTTTCCATGGGCAGCACATCTGTCCACCTTTTGTCTTCTTTTGGTGTTTACTAAAATTGCATCTCTAAGGCAAACAAAAATAAAATTGCACTCTAGAAGCTGCTGATCTTTTAGCAGTTAGAAATTGGTATGAAATGTACCAGAGGCACTTAGAGTGAATTCAGAGAGGCTGGCTCTTCAGTGAGCCTCCCAAAAGTGGCATCTACTTTTAAAAATCTGTGGTGGGAAAGGCCAAAGGAGATGAGTTAAGGGAGATGAAATGAATGCTTTTGTCTATTGGTGGATTGATAAATCATCAAACATGGAAATTGGAAGCCGGACTCATCTGTGGTGCATATCTGTAACACAGCTACATGGGAGACTGAGACAGGAGGATTGGAAGTTCGAGGAAGTCAGTGAGATCTGTCTCAGAATTAAAAATAAATAAATAAAAAGGCTAGGGATATATCTCAGTGAAAGAGTACTTGCTTAGCATGTGTGAGATCTTGGGTTCAATGCCCAGTAGTGAGAAAGAAAAGAGAGAAGAAGGGAGGGAGGGTGGAAAAGAGGAGGGGAAAGGAGGGAGGGAAGGAAGGAAGGATGGATTCTGGATCATTAAAGCTTGCTGTTTGTTTAGGACCTTCTGGGAAAGGACATTTTGGAATTCTGCCACCCGGAGGATCAGAGCCATCTGCGGGAGAGCTTTCAGCAGGTACTGTGAGGGCTGCCCACAGTGACATACAACCTTCCTGTGTGTGGAGATGGCCAGTGGGACATGTGTCCTACTGTGTGCTGCATGGGCTGCGAGCATCTGCCTAAAGTGTCAGCCACGAAGGGCACAGGCTGATGGGAAGATGGACCACAAGGAAGTCATGTGAAGAGAGAGCTCTGAGGGTCCTGAGGAAAATACCATGGAGGAGAGAACGTGAAGAGACTCCAGGAGCCTCCACAGAGGGAGGAGAGCCCCCCGGGGAGGGGACAGTTGGGGTGATCTAAGGGTGGACACACAAGAACTGAGAGGACGCTCAGCCTTAGGGCAGCCCCAGAGACACAGCAGAATGTGGCCTGCAGGTAGGACGGGTAACACTGGCCAGCCTGTAGCAAAGACGTGGCAGGCAGTGGCAGGTGCCTGGGCGAGGCCTGGGGCTAGAGGTCTTGAAGCCCCGCTGAGGAGCAGTAGTCCACCAGCTGTGTGAGGGCACACGGCCCCCGGAGGACCAAGGCAGGGTAGGTATTGAGGAACAACTTCATCAACCCAGCTGTACAGAAGGGAAGTTGAAGGAAGTAGCTGAAAGCCAAGACAAGCTGGGGGCTTTTGCATTTGTCCAGATGAGTGGCAATGAGGCCAGAAGTGGGGCAGAAGCCATGGGAACCAACATGTGGACAGTGTGAGGAGAGGGGACCTTGGTAGCAATGGCTTAGAAGGAGAGGGGAAGAAAGGGATGAAGATGCCCCTTGGAGCCTGACAGGTGGCCATCCTGACAGTGGCTTCGTGCACACTGACCCAGTACTGCTCCTTACCGAGCACCTGCTATGGGTGGTATAGACTGGTGGCAACAGCATGGGAGGAAGCCATTGTCATCTCCCCACCTTGGTGAGTCGGGCCAGCGTGCCACACAGGGCACTCCCACCGTGCACAGACAAGGTCCTGCTTAGGCAACATTGGGCTGAGCACCTGCACGCCCTCCCTTCTGTGCTTTCTTCAGTGGCAGGACCACTCTGACTCTCTCCTCACTTCTCAACCTCCACGGCGGGCCCCTCCTCCTCGGCCACTTCTTTGGGCAGTGATGGGGGTGCTCTTGATTACCTTCTCCTCTCTCTCTCCTTCCCCGTCCCCTGACCCCATCACCCTGGAGCACCTTGCCCAGTGGCCAACCCACCCAACTGTCCTGGCCCCAGCCCTGCTCTGCAGGCAGTGTCCCCAGTCCCCTCCGGATCCCCACAACCCTCAGTCAGGGAGCTCCTCCTCCTCAGCTCCCTGCCTCCTTTGCCCCGCCTGTCTCGGCCATCCTGCTCCCCATAGCCAGTCCCTCTGCAGGTCCTGGGGACCTTGGAGGATGTCTAGGACCCTGCTCTCCTCTGCCTTGTCCCTAACCACTGGCCCCAGCCACCAGTCCACCCTCACCATTGCAGTCACTCCAGAGCCACCTCTGCCTTCCTTCCTTTCAGTCTAAGCCATTCTGAAACTGCAGCTGAGTTCTGCCACATTTTTACTTACTTCTAGCAGCTTCCCAGGGGCTGCAGTGTCAAGTCTGAGTTCCACACCATGGCCTCACGCTCTGTGTCCAACATCCCTGTCTGTCCTCCTCTGGACACTGCTCCAAAGTCACATGATGCTGGCCTTCTGCTGTCTTGAACTCAGGCCACATGGGCGCCATTGCTGTGGCCTGCTGTGACTAGAATGGTCTCCCGACTCTTCATATGACTGGCATTTTACCCATCATGTCCCCAGAGATGCCCCAGTGGCCTCCTAGCTAAAAGCGAATCCCCAGCTTTCTTGGCTCATTTCACCTTCAATACAATTCCAGTTTTATGTATTTGTCCATTTTCTTCTGGACTTGAGTCCTGTCTTCTTCACTACATGTCACCTTCCTGTGGGCAGACTCATGTCTGTGCTGTTACTTCATGTCTACCACTGAGTGACAGAATCTGCACCCAAGGGTGGTCCCTTTTCTGTACTTTGAACCCATGGCCTTTGCTCTGAGCCACGTCCCGACTCCATGCCCACTTTTTGAGACAGGATCTCAATAAGTAGCTAAATTGCCAAGATTGGGCTCAAGCTTGCCACCTTCCTGCCTCAGCCTCTCAGAGTGCTGGTAATACAGGTATGCGCTACCACATCTGGATTAAGGGCAGCTTTGAATAAAGCCATCTGAGTGCATAAGATAGCTTTCATTTAACAAAAATGTGAAATGAGCATCATTAGCACTGTTCTCATGCCGAACATTTGTGAAGTATGTGGGAATGATGACACTTGGCCTCTTACCTGGCATGCTTGGGCTTGGCTTGGATTCATTTAGTTTTCTGAACACATGAAAATGGATCTCTAACAGTGAGGGGCTTTCCACTCTGCCCAGCAGCCAGCCAGAACCCTTTTCATACATTACCTTAGGTGACCCTTAACGAAACACAGCGAGTGTCGCCAGCCTCGCCTCTCCCAGTAGACACCAAGACTTGGGTCTGACCTGGGTCCCAGGCCAGGCAGTGACAGAGTCAGGGCTGGGGCCCAGGCCCACCTCCCTCCAAAGCTCCCCCAGCATCTCCTCACCTCAATCACAGGTCTCTCCATCCAGTGCTATTTCTGAAACTTAAAGGCTTTGAAAACAAAAAGAAATTTAACATCTGATCTCACCTCAGTAGCCAGTTTAAATCACTGGCTATGCGAGCAGCCACTTCATTCCTTGGGCAGGGAGGGAAGCCGGGCCACGATGCCCAAGAGCTGGTGCTCCCATCCCGCCAGGGAGCAGTGGACAGTGGCCAAGCAGCTCCAGGGACATCCTGGACCACGGCTAACCTCAGCCCTGAGCTTGTATTCCTTGGGCTCTGGCCACCGGCAGCTGAGGCGAGGGACAAATATTGATAAAGGGAAGTGGCTTGTTCTTGTAAAAGCACAGAGGGAGCTGTGTCAGCTAAGATTCAGCCTTGAACTCTAGATTTAAACAAAAGCATTTGATGGCTCAGATGGGAGAGCCATGGAGCATGATGGAATTTGTGAGGAATTTGAGTTTGGCGCAGTGACAGTGCACAGACCCAGGGTCTGAGAAACTCATATCTGCTTTTAGAGTCTCTCCCTGGGTCAGTCTATGAAGAGGTCAAATGGAAGGGCTGAGTGCAGTGAAACTTAGGCTCCATTCGTACCCTTTCTTTTCTGCTTAGACACCTTCCAGGATGGTGGTGATGGTAGTGGGTGGTGGTGATAGTGGCGGTGATGATCCTGATGATGGGGGTGGGATGGTGATGCTGGTAGTGTTGGTGGTGTTACTGGCGATGGTGATGATGGAGGTGACAAGAGTGGGGATGGTGGGCTTGGCAGTGGTGATGGTGATAATGATATAATGGTTATGCTGATGGTTGACGACACAGAGAGTTGTTTCTGTGTAGAGCCAACCTCAGCTGAGGTTTGTGCCTGACCTTTGCATCTCCTGTGTTATGAGCACCACACCTGACTTGAGCACAGTCTTCAGAGCTGGACCATATTCCCTATGCAGTCCAGTCCTCTATCACATCTCGGCTTTCCCAGCCTGCAGAATTGGCTTCTGCTGTGCCTCCTCCCAAGGGTGCTCTCCTGGCACACCTTCACTCGCCGACATTTGACGCACCCCTACCTATGACCAGACTCCCACCTCCCCCCAGGAACCCATTAGCCTCACAGCATTTGATCTCGGTTTGTGTAGCGGTGTTTAGCAGATGCTTTCTGGGTTACAGGTAGCTGCACATAGGTCCTGAAAGGTGAGAAGCACTTTGGGGAAGAATTGTACTGGGGCATTAGGGACTCATGGAAAGGATGCCTCAGCATAGTGAGACCTTGGGCAGGGTGCTGCTCTGAAGCCCCTTTTCCGGATACACAGTACCCAGTCGTGAGGCTATGTGAGGTAACACAGAAGGTGCTTTGCCCCTGCTGGCTGTAGCTCTGGCGGCTCCTGTCCTCCCATGTATCTCCCCCGCCCTCAGGCCTGGCTTTGCATACAGACAGTGCACTCTCTGCACTCGAAGAGGGAGTTAAAAATCTAAGATAGGCAAGACAGGGGGACATGGATCTCTAGGTGTGGACAGCAGCTCTCTGCTGCCCCTGTATTTGGTGTAGCCACAGAGGAGTCTCCAGGCAGCAAGTCCCCCAGTGTGGGGACCTGATAGGCATGTGGCCTTGACCTCTGGGCCCTGTGAGGGAATAACAGGTCCTGTTGGGGCAGCAGACTCACAGCATCCTCTGAGGTGGGAGGGAAGGCCTTGCCCTCCTGGAGCTTGCCTGTCACTAGGGGTTTCCCAGCAGGGAGCCTTGCATGTCCCCCCAGGTAGTGGGATAGCAGGATGATCATCCAGCTGCATCCACCCAGGCTGGCTCAGGAAGTGCTCTAAGTGCCTACTCAGTGCTGAGCTCTGGGCTGGGGCGGGGCAGGTGCAGGTGACCAAGACTTCTCTATCTCCAGGCTACGCACATTCTGCTGGAGACAACAGCCACCCAGCAGGAAACAAAGGCACCAGTGCAGGTAGTGTTAGGAAAGGGAGAATTGGGCCTCCTGGCCCCCGGAATCAGACCCCATTTTTATTAGTGAACATGCTGTGAGCTCTTAGACAGGAAGCCTGGGGATATACAGGCCTGACTAGGTGTGGGCTCAGGACTGCATGGACCTGAATGCAGGGTCTTGGTCTCCTTATCTTGTCCCAGTGCTGTGATCACTCCCAGGCCTGGACCATCAATGGATGCTTCAGCTGTGCAGTCTGCACTGGATGTGGCCATCTGCACATCTGCCTGTCTACACTGCCTTGGTGGTGGTATCTGTGTCTAAACAGCAGAAGGGCAGGCTGTGTAGCCAGAGAGATAAGCTTATGATTCAAAAGTAAGATTTTGGCTCCCGTACCAGCTTTTCTACAAAGTTGTGTGATCTTGGGCAACTTAATTTCTTCGAGTCTCAGTGTTGTCATCTGTAAAGCCCACCTTGCCTAACTCTTGTGAGGATGTACATGACATAAAGCATTTGAAAGCACATTGGAAACCACACCCCAACACAAAGCGAGGTACAGATACACTTGTACAAATAAATGATGTGTACAGATCTGTCATTTTACGACCGCTCCTCCAAGAGAATATTTGGAATCCTTTTTGGGGAATTTCTTATGTAAGTTATGAAGAAGTAAACCCCTGCGCGCAGTGTGGCTGCGTGCTCAGGTAAAGTGATAACTCCAGAAGAGACTAGCACCACTCCCAGATAACCGAGCAGCCAAGGCCAAGAGGAAAACACAGCTCTTACAGAGTTCTCATGTTCTGATTTGTAAGTCCTGCCGTCCCATGGGTATTGGCTGGCTGGTTTCTCACACAGTGGTGACAGAGGACCTGTTTCAGAGAGGAGGCAGGTGAACAGTCCTGTCCCTTAGTGCGCCTCCTCTCACTCACATAACTCCTCCTTTCTTGCTGTCTTGTCGCTGCAGTGCCGTACTTTGAGATCCTGCTGGCCCTCAGAGCACGGCCCTGCTGGTGCCTCTCCCTTCTCTGGCACTGTCCCTCCTGTTGACCTCCTTCCCCAAATGTTTTCTCAGGTGGTGAAACTGAAGGGCCAAGTCCTGTCGGTCATGTATCGATTCCGCACCAAGAACCGGGAGTGGGTACTGATCCGCACCAGCAGCTTCACCTTCCAGAACCCCTATTCCGATGAGATCGAGTACATCATCTGCACCAACACCAACGTCAAGTACGTGCCTGGCCTTCCTTCCCCCTCCCTGGCATCCACCTACCCTTGGCACGTCCATAGCAGGTGATTGTGTCGGGGCTATTTCTGCCCCCAGCCTCTGCCTGCAGCTAAAAGTCCCTGGGGCCTGGGAGGAGAGTAGAGGCAGGGGGTGCATCCCTCCTGCTTCAGAAGAGTCCATAGTACCGAGTTCTGGGTCCAGAGGTGCTGCTGGCCTCCCTGGTTGTTTCCCCCGAGCTCAGTGCGCTACAGAATAGGGCTCTGTGGAGTGTGCTTCTCTGCTCCCTGTGCCTGGTTCCTTGGCCCTGCTGCAGGTGCGCCAAGGGCTGGAGGATATGGGCCTGGGCATCAGGGCAGCTGTGGGTACTTAATGCCCAAGTGGCAGGCACATCTGTGCTCTGGCTGGGCCCTGCACTTTCTAGCTGTGTGCCTGAGCCAGTTGTGACCTCTCTTGGCCTTCACTTCCTGCTCAGTGGAGTGGGGGTGTGTCCCTCCCTGTGAGGTCACCGTGAAGATGACAGGGCCAGGCTCAGAGCTATGACTGGCCCTGCATTCCGTGTCAGCAGGGGGAGTGTGACCAGGGCAGCTGTGTGTTCTCTCTGCTCTCAGCCTCAGGGAAATACACACAATCCAGACACAGGATGGTGCCACCTTTGGCATCCACCTTCTGGGCTGTGTGAATGTGGCGCATACACCGCAGGAATTGTGCTTTTACACTCAGCATGCGGGCTCAGCTGAGAGGCTGATGGGTGAGAGTGTAGGTGAGCTGTGATGGGTTCCCTGGGACATGACCTGTTGTACATCATGGAGCATCTATGCAAAGCTGAGAAACCAACACAAAGACGTGGGCAAAAGGACATCCCTTCCCGCTGATGTGACATGTGAGGCCCTCCAGGGGCAGTAGGTGTGGAATGCGGATTACATGCTAAGAATTGTCCTCACGTCTCCCTGCTGTGGTCAGCGATGCCACTTTCCTCTATTTCCCCATGTTCAAAACCCAGTCTGACCCTGTTTGCAGCCCACCACTCCCTGCGCAAACCCCAGCATTGCCCTATTCTGCCATCTTGGAGCCCCCTTGGATGTGGGAGCCCTGTCTGGGCTTGTGAAGCAGCTTCCTGTCCCAGGCAGCAGCAACTCTGCATCCTCGACCTCTGCGCAGCTCCTGGACACAAGGCACAGGAAGGGGACGAGTCCTCCCAATAGCCTCCTGAAAGTAGGTGGCCTGGGTTACAGTCCCAGCTCCCACCTAGGCCAGTCCCCCCTAATTCTCCCAGCCTCCACCACTTGGTCTGCCCAGTGTGGACAACAGCAGAACCCACTCTCCCAGAAGCCTAGAGTCTTAAGCAGGTCCTGGGCCAGTGCTGCCTCTGTAGCACCCAGGGTACCAATGGCAGAGCTAGCACAGCACAGTGTGGCCGCAGCAGCTGCACCTGACCTGGTAGTGGTGGTGGCAGCATCAACCCTGCCCCTATCTGAGCAGCTCTCTTCTGCTTCCCTGAGTGCAGCACCGCGTTCTTCTCCTAACTGTGGGCAGAGACCACCAGCTGGGAGGCCCTGCATGCTTCCTGCTGCTGTTGAAAATGTATCTTGCCCTCTGCCTGCTTCCTGGGTGAGGTCTTCCTACTCCTGTGTGCTCTGTGCCTCCCTGGCCCTCACTCACCACTCCCTGGATCTGGGAAGACCCCGTCCAGCCAGGCCACTGTGGCTGCCACTCCCACCTCTGCAGTACCCTTCTTAGCCTCTGAAGCCATTCTTGGCCCAACACAGCTGCAGCCACTTGTCCCACGGCCACCAGCACCCACACAAGCAAGTCCCTGCCACCAGTCCTTCTCCAGAGCTGTGACAGCTCCTTTTTCTGGACGTCCCTCACTGGCTCACCTGAAACAGTGCTGTGTTCCTCCTTTCCCTTCAGGTTCCTTTCTATACTCGTGACTGTTATAGGAAGAAACATGAGAAGTAATAGGCTTTGTCATGCACAGACACTGTTACCACATTTTTTTCTGTGTTGTCTATCTAGTTAAACTTGGGAAATGTGATCAAATTGACTGGATTTTTCCCCCCGCTACTGAGGCTTTGCTTTCTTCCCATTTCTTTGCGAAAGTCAGGTGGCAGTAACAACACAGAGCACCATTTTGTGCAGGGCAGTGCCTACCTACTTGCTTAAGACTGTGGTCCCTGGCAACTCTAGAGGTCAGGGGATCAGATCCACCCGGGACACAGGGTCAGCCCTGATGCTCAATCTGAAATCTTCTGACCTGAAAGGTCTGTGTGAGCTGGAAAAGCTCCCTGTGGACAGCAGAGGGCAGTGATGGCCATGGATGTGAGTTCCTGGAGCTGAATTTCTCTAGCAGTCCCAGGTTTGGGAGGGAGAAGTCCTCTAGGCACAGGGATGGGGGTGTGCAAGCTCAGTCCTTGCATTCAGTTGAAAGCATCCAAAAGAAACTTCCTGGAGATGCTGAGTGTTGCCTGATTAGTGTTTGTGTGAGGCTGCTGAAAAGACATCTTTCTCAACTCTGATTTCTTTCCTATTCTGTCCATATGTAAAAGCGTCCAGGAAACAAAGCTGATTCCATTGTACAAGTTGTAACCCCACCAGGTCTGGGGGCCTGGGGTTGACACTCCTGGGGACTGACCCTATTTCCTGAGACAGTTGTGAGCTGACTTTGAAGCCCACACCCTCGTGTTTTCTTGCTCATGTGCCTGGCTGCCATGAGGGGAAGCAGACTCATCTCTTTGCATGTCCTGGGGCCAAACCCTCATTCCTATGGCCATAGGTTTTCATGAGCACAGTGCTTGTTGAGGGGGGCGGGGGGGGGGGGAGAGAGAGAGAGAGAGAGAGAGAGAGTTTCTAATAGCCCCACCAAGCTCAGAGTCACATATGAATCTCTCTGAGCTTTCATAGTAAGTGATGATTGCTAGTGCTTACCTGATTGGTAGTATATGGGAGGCCAAGAACAGGGGTGGGTACAAAAGAAGGGAAAGGAGATTCTTGGTCTCTGCAGAGCCGAGAGCCACTAAAGAACTGAGACATTCAGCCTGAGTTGTCCCAGGTTCTTGACTGTCAACCTGATGGAGAACAAGAGCTCTAGGCTCCACTTGAGTCTCTCCAGCGTCCACACCCTATGTGCGGGGGAAGCCTTTGCCGTCTCACATTTGCCCATTGGCCCCTAGCCAGCTCATCTGCCTTCTTTCAGGCCCTTTTGTGCCAGCTCAGGAGTCCCAGGGGGCAATCTCTGAATCACATGCAGGCCCATGCTGTTCCCTGCTCCATCCATCAATTCCAAACACCTTCCCTGGACCTAGGAAGCACTAACAGCCCCTTTCCCTGAGGCTGAATGCCCCAGCTGGGTTCTGGTTGCCTCTGATGTCTTCCTAAAAGATTTGTTGCTCCCTTACTCAGGCTGAGTGAAAACTTCCATCCAAGAGGCATCGGGGGTCATTGGCAGCGCCCAGATAGCACCAGCACCTGGCTAGCAAGAAGCAGCCGGGAAAACTGCCTTCCAGTCCTGGAATGCTCTCCCCAGCCACTCAACTCCCTCCTCTCTGGAATGTGCAAGCTCCCTGAGGTTTACTTTTGTATGGTGCTGCGGTATCTATGAAGTTCCCATCCCCCTTCTCAGAACGGAGAGGTCTGGGGCAGTGCCTCTTCTGCATGTACTTGGCTGCAGGAGCAGAAGTACATGGATGGGATGGAGATGCTGATATCTGCACCACCAAGCTGTTGGTGTAGATGCCGGGGGCTTGCCAGCTCACCAAGACCTCATTTTCTTCTTCCTGGGAAAGGCACTTCCCTCCCTTGCTTCAGGAGCCCAGAGGGGGCCAGAACTAAGACCAGCCTATTGCCAACTCTCTGGCTTCCACTTTCTAGTGTCGGAGGGTGGCTTGAGTGACTACCAGAGACATGCAGTGTGAGGCAGTCTGAATGCCTGCTAGTAGCGGGTGGGCTTGGCCGAATCCAGCTGCTTTTCTGAGTTTTAGCTTACAGGGAATTCTTTATAGTGTGGTATCTTTGAACTCCGCATAAAATGAAGTCATGCATCAGAACATATAAGTAGGTCAATGTGGTCATCTCAAGTGGAACCAAAGAGCTCTGAGGCAGTAAAAATAAGATAATTAGAAGTGGAAACTGTTTGGGAGATTCATTGGGTGTCACCCGCTGTGACTTGGGGACCAGCACCCTGGCTCACGACTCTCACCACCTCCTCACACCTCTGTCCACTTCTGCTCCACAGGCAGCTGCAGCAGCAGCAGGCAGAGCTGGAGGTGCACCAGAGAGACGGGCTGTCCTCCTATGACTTGTCTCAGGTGAGCCTCTCGAACATTCCGTCCTACCTGGAGCTGTCTCCTGCCTAGAACTTGTGTATTCCCTGCAGCGCACAGAGCATTGGATCCTCAGGGCCGATAGGCACATCACAGGCCCTGCTGAGACTCTAGGGCTCGGACCCTCAGAGGCCAAGACAAGCATGTCCTACACCTGCCCTCTCCACCCATCTTTGGGCCTGTGTCCCTTTCTCCTTGGGTTCTCCTTATAGTCACACTGTGTTCCCCCTCCGCCTGCACTGCCTCTCCTGTCCTCGCCCTTCTCTCCCCACCATTTTTCTCTCTAGTCCCGGTCTCTGAAACTGGCCTTATAGAGAAACTGGTACGTGTCAGTATTTGACTGCTCTTTCTTGAATTATGCTTCCCATTCTCGGTTTCTGACATTTAAAGTAGTTGACTCCTTTCTATTTGTCTCTGTCTAGGAAAGTAACTGGTGGGAATCCTGTCTTCCTGTGGCAGTGCATATCCCAGCCTGGCTGTGCCTGCACTCAGAGAGCAGAGCCCATACTTTGTGAAAATGCTCAGGACTGAAGCTCCAGGGTGAGAGCACTGCCAAAGGAAAGGGGCAAGTGCCTCACTGCTGGTGGCGTTGTGTTTACATGTGCCAACAGGTCCCTGTCCCCAACCTACCTGCTGGTGTTCACGAAGCTGGGAAATCTGTGGAAAAGGCAGATGCAATCTTCTCCCAAGAGAGAGACCCCCGGTTTGCTGAGATGTTTGCAGGAATCAGTGCATGTGAGTTTCCAAGGGGCTCAGGTCGTGGGGTGAGGGGTCTATAGTTGCTCTCCAGGAATCTGGAGAATGCCACCCTTGCGGGGGCCAGGAAGGGGAAATGTGAGTATCTCATGCAGGGTGCAGGAAGAACCAGGGGCAGGAGGCCCCACACACAGGAAGTAGAATGGATTCTCCATAGTTCTGGCCACACCTCCACTGCCTGGTTACCCGGGGCACTGGCGTCTCATCTTTGAAATTTGAGGGTTTGGATAAATTAACTATTAATCCACTATTAGTGTAGATTTATTATTAAACCAAAGAAGTGTCCTTGTTGAAAAAAAACTGTAGTCCATAACAAAGGCCTACATTTTAAAATAAAAATATGAAATAACAAAGAAAAACAACAGTGGTCTACTCTCCTACCACCTAGATATAATTACCTGTAACTTTTTACAGTATGTTCTATCTTTTTCTATATATGTATTATTTGTATATATAAACTTGAGCTTATCTTGTTCAAAAACTTTCTTTTTTATGTGTTGGTTTATTATGAACATATTTCCAGATCACTAACCAATCCTAAGCATTTTTGTTACCAACATAGAGTTCCACGGTGTAGACAACAGTAACTGGCTTGGTAACTCCTCTGTGCCTGTCATTAGATTGCCCAGTCCGTCACTATTACTGCAGAGAAGCTCCATGCCACCACACGGAGCTACCTCAGTCCCCCACCCAGAGCTCCTGAGTTTGGCAAAATATAAAATACAGAAAGGTCTTTGTTGGTTCCAAAGTCAGAAAACAAATTCCATTTGCACACCGTCACGGGGTTTCTGCAAGATGCTTCCTTAGGCAGGATCAGTTGAAGGAGGAATAAAGGAAGGACGGGAGAGGCTGTGATTGGAGGCGGTCCTGGATTGTCCTCCCAGATGGAGGCTTGAGATGGCTGGGGTGAGGGAGGACATTGGGCTGCTGGGTAATGGAGGGCCACAGCCTTGGCACATCTCTGCCCTCGGGTATACACATTGGTGAGAAAGCAGAGCCTGCCCCTCATGTGGCCAGGACCTGAGGCTTGGGAAGCAAGGGCAGTGCCAGTGCCACCTCTCTGAGCACAGGAGGGGCCAGCACAGCACAGAGACTAGTGGAAACTGATGCCAGGAAGCAGAGCCCGCAGCACGCCAGGGACTTTCACCACCTCTGGTCCCAGCCACCCAGACGAGTCATTTCAACTGCAAGAGGAGACAGGAGCACACCTGAAAGGCCTGTCCTCCCCTGCAATAAGCCACAGCATCTCTGAGAATCCATCTGAAGTTTTAATCTTACACATCCCGATGTCTTCCCACCATGACAAAACAGAAAGAGGAAGAAAGTGGGCAAGGAGTCAGTGAGAGCAATTAGGGCAAATGTCCTCCTTTGAGAATGAGTTTTTATAATAAAGACGAGGAAGTTTGGAGAGTCTCCAGCATGTCTCCTCCAGGGAACTCCAGGGAGAACTGTCACTTTCTGAGGATGTGCCACCTGGGGGGAGGGGTTGGGCTGAGCAGGCTGATACCGTATTACAGAAATTCCCAGGTCAGGGAATTAAGAAGAAACACGAATTTTCCCCACATGCAAAACTTGGGTCTTCCAACTGCAATAACTCTGTGAATACCCAACTAAAAATGGTAAAGAAACTTGCACATCAACCATGTCGACATAGTCTGTTGTATTATTCACTTTTTTAAAGGTTGATTCAAATAATGAAAATCCTGCAAACATCCAGAGGTGGGGAAATTACTTACAAAGTGAAATCCTCAGACTTCCTTGGGGTACTAGGTGTATCCAGAGAACTCAGAAGGAAAATACACAGCCCCCAATTTTTCCAGCAGCCAAACTGCTTTGATAGACAGAAAGACAGACTTGCACTGCCTACCCATCATGTCTGAAAACATCACTTATGAAAGATTGCACTTGTTTCTATGTAGATCAAAACATAAGACGCAGAACAGAAGTGACAGGTTGGAAATTGGTGGTGATGGGAAATGAAGTTTACAACACCTAGAATCATTAGATGATGCAAAGATAAACAACTAAAACTGCAGTCTTGAATCAGTTGAGCAAAGATCGAGACATTTTTTTGGATTAGAGTAGTAAACATAAAAATTTCTCATCGGTGTGTATTATCTTCAGCATTTATGGAGAAATTCAGAGCTTCACGGATGTTTATATACAACTATTAAAAAATAATATTTGTTTTAAAAGAAATACAAAGGAAAGAAAGAGATCTTACTTCCAAACTATTTCCAAAGAAATTTTTAGCAAACTGTAAACTTCTCAGAAGGCAAATAGTGAGATAGTGAGAAAGCATGGCTATCAAGCAGGGCGAAATGAGCTGATGCCGGGTACTGCTGAGTTGCTGCTCCTGAGTGTGCACTCACTCGTGGTGGAACCAACAGAAGGAGGTGGGCGCTTGGCCAGAACGAGACCACGGAGATACTCTGAGAACCTGGTGCTTCACAGCTCCCCATGGGCAGAGAGGCTGGGCCGTGCATGTGGAAGAAGCAACCTAAAATGAGAATAGAAATACCGGAACATAGGAAAGCCCAAATCATTACAATTGCAGGAAGGCACTGATAAAGCTAAATTGTAGTGGACAATCTCTATGAGCCTGTCTTCATCTTTACAAAGCAGGTAGATCAAAATAATGAAGATAAAAAGATTGAATTATATACACACATAAATACACATACACACATGTGCACATTATCTTGAGTCCTGCTAATGACTAATGTTCTAGAGTAGCTAGCCAAACAATTTTTATTATTTATCCAAACTACCAAGAATCTTAAGAAAAAGAAGGGACTTGCTTTTAGTGTATAGACTGCAAAGGGCTTAAGTCCACCTCATTCCTGCAGGTTTTAGCCTCATCTGTCCTCTTCTCCCGCTCCTCATCCCAGAGCTGATGGCCTGGGACTGGGCAGAGATGCTCACCCAGGACCCTGAGCACCTCTGACCTTAAGGACTTGCACTGTCACACAGCCTCACTGAGCAAAGCCAGTGAGTTGGGAAGCCGCTCTAGGCTCCTCCGCACAGAGGCATCTTAGAGGCTATGCACACGTGTGGGCTCGCTGGCCCAGGCACAGTCCTCAGCCCCAAGCCATGAGCCTGAGCATTCACCAAGCACAGCTGCTGCAGCACACCGAGACAGAGGGCACACACAGGCCAGAGTCCGGATGTAGAGAGATTGCCCTGCAGCTGGTCCTTATGTCCTGCTTCTAGCTTCTTGCTGTGGGCAGAGATGGTGGGGGTTAGAGAGGTTTTATGAGATTCTGGGGCAGTAGGAGAGTGTGTCCCCGAGCCTGGGTACCAGTGACCAGCAGGGATGTGTTGAAGTTAAGGGCTGCTGACTGGGCCTGTGTCTGTTCTTGTTCCTGTGCCTGTTTCTCCCTGGGCCATGAGCCTGCTTCCTCATGTAGAATCTCTACCACCCACTGCAGCCCTTGCAGGCTGGGGTGCAAGCCTGGGCCCTCCTGTGCTGTCTCCTGACTGCACAGAGCAAGCCTTGTTTTCCTCATCTGCTACAAACAGCGACATCAGATGCTCTTGGCTCTGTCACCATGCTCAGTTCTAAGCACTCAACTCTGTTCACACCCTGGGTTCCCACCACAGCCCTATGGGGAAAAGACTCTGATTACTACTTTCTTTCAGGAGGGAAAACTGAGGCAGCAGGTTAAAAGTATGCCCGAGGGACTCCTCATCCGCAGGACAGAGCAGGGTCCAGGGTGGGGCTGAGGGTCATTGTGGGTACTGTGGATGCTGCCCTGCCCTCCTCAGCCATACATCCACACCTGCTGCTTGTTGCTTGTATCCATCCATGGGTGGGAAGGGGCATAAAGTGAGGTCCTTCAGTCTCTGATCTTCCCAGCTCTCACAGACGGCTTGGCTTGCAGGTAGCTGTGGCCATCCAAGGAGGCAGGAGCAGCAGCTAGGGGCTCCCTCCTGTGCCCCACGCCCTGCCTGGGCCTGTGCTGGGCTGGCCGCCCATGCTGTTCTGGCAGGAACCCTCACATATGATACCTACTCTGGTTTTCCTAGCGGAGAAGAAGATGATGAGCTCTGCCTCGGCAGCAGGAGCCCAGCAGATCTACTCCCAGGGAAGCCCATTCCCTCCTGGACACTCAGGAAAGGCCTTCAGGTATGGTGGGTAGATGGGGTGACACTCCTCAGGGCAGACCTGGTCTCGGAGCTCCACTCTGCCAGCTGCACAGGACAGCCAGTGCTTCTTGCTCTGCAACCAGACCAAGAGTCCTGGGGTGCTGGCTGTGTCCGACTGGGGAGAAGGAAGGGATTGGTTCCAGCCATGGTGGGGTGGGGAGGCAGAGCCGGGACAGCTGACAGGTGTCGGAAATCACCCCATTCCCTGGCCTTTGGGGACTGTGTCCAAGTTCAAGGAAGAGAGGCCTAGACCCATCTTGTCTAGCCTTCAGCCGAAGGACCACAGAAGGACAGATGAGGGCCAGAACTAACCCAGGCTTGGTTCTCAGCCTCAGGGCATTTTAGATCATTGAAGAGGCCCAGAGGTCATCCCTGGAGGTTAGACAGCTACACTTTGTACTGGGGACTGAGCAAGGACAGATGGCAGCCCTTGGGGAAGGTGTCACTCCCAGAAAATGTGTTCCAGACCCTGTGTCTGACAGGGTGGAGCCCTCCTGTGGCCCATACTAGGGAGTTTGACCAGAGCTCCAGATGCAGGCTAGGACCAGGGTCAGCCGGTGGGGCTGCCTAAGAGAATAGGGCTGCTGAGGTATTTCCCTGACCCTCCTTGCCACAGGCCATTCCTCTGCCAAGGAATTCCTCTGCCAAGCAGTGCTGCTGTACAACTCAGCCAATCCACGCACACTGATGGCACAGGCTGTGCTGGCCCTGCTAGGTCCCTGCCCTGATGTCCTCAAGCACTTGCTGCCAGCAGAAGGAAGTAGGCAGGGAGCGGTGGTGGGAGAAAAGGGGCGTCAAGGTCAAGGGCAGACAAGGGGCCAGCCTGAGGTGGTGTGCAGAGAAGGCCAGCTGCCCTGGAACCAGAATCAGGTTCTGTCCCCCAAGAAGGGAACAATGCCTTGGGTGTGAGGAGTGTGCAGAGAACAGCCCAGGAGGCAGGAATATCAGGGAGGTTTGGGCGGGGCAGCAGACAGTGAACCCACACTTCCAGGGGCCATAGTTAGGGAACTGGGACTTTATCATTGGTGGTTTTAGAAAAAGAACAACTTAACAGCAGTGGGACCATAAAGTTCTGTGGGGCAGTGTGGGGCAGAGTGCAGGGGTGAGGATACCAAAGGTTTACAGTCCAGCTTGTCACTGTCCTGAGTCATAGAAATGAGTGAATGGGGTGCCGTGGAGGGCAGTGGTGGAAGAAGGGCAGAATTGAGACTGCTAGCTGTGTGGGGGAAAAAATCCAAAGAGCATCCAGTAACTGCAGAGCCTGGCGTAGGAGTGGCACTTGCAGTGCTAGTATGTGGGATGGATAGGTGAGTAGATGGATGGATGGTTGTGTGGATACATAGATGGGTGGATGGATGGACTGGTATGTGGATGGGTGGATGGATGGGTGGGTGAATGGACCTGTGGATGGATGGTGGATAGATTGCTGTGTGGATGGGTGGGTAGGAGGATGTGTGGTGGATGGATTGGGGCTGAATGAGGGGTGAGTGGATGGGTAGAGAAATGCCTGTTAGGGCTAAAACCCACCAAATGGGCAGAATATTCTGTAAATTCAAAGGGCCTGAGCTGGTTCATGGCACGAAGGGTTCCAGTGCCTGTCTCAGTCATAAGTAGACTATGCCCCTAGAAGAATGGTTCTAGTGTGTCTTCACCCAGAGACCTTCTGCTGTAGCCCCACAGGTCCTGGCCTGCCTGTGTCATACAGCCCTAGGGACCTGAAGGGCTAGGCACAGGGACCGGTACTGTGGCCCATGAACCCCATTCCTTTCAGCCAGGGTGCCTTTGCTAGGGCCCTCATCTGTGTCCTGGGAAGGGCACTGAGGGCATTGGGGTGCCAGAGCGCCCCTGAAGAACAATGATCAGAAAATGCCCTCTAGAGTCTACATTCACCAGGAGGAAAAGGGGGAAGGAACCCTATGTTGAGTTCAGACCTCAGGAAGATGAGAATGGTGTTTCACACCATGTTAGAAATTGTACCCGTTTCGAGGCTTTAAGGATTGGATAACATAGAGAAATAAATGTTAGAACACAGCAAAATTGCACCCAATCATTTGCATGGGTCTGTTACCTGCCTCCATTTCAAAACTGGGCTGAACACCTACCTGCATTAAGCTCTACTGGGATTGGACCCTCACACTCCACCGGTTCTTTTCTGGCACCCCGCGTCTGGACCTGTTCGCTGCATCTGTCCCAGGGAGGCAGGAGGAAGGGCCTGAGACAATATGGAGGTCTTGCCCACCTTTCCATTGTTAGTGAGCAGCTGATGGTGCCATCGGAAGAGCTGCAAATGTCTCCTGTAGGGGTCGCCAGCAGTGTAGATGCATGTCTGGGAGCAGGTACAGTGTCCAAGATTAGACCTGCAGAGGCCATACAGAGAGTGCCCATGGGGCGACACATGTGGCCTGATGAAGACTTGCCACGTTAAATGGAAATGAGGCAGAGAGGGCCACACTGGTGTGCTCTGAGGTGTGGGACTGAGCCCCAGCCAGCAGGTCACTGGACAGGCTGGCGTTTCTGTTAGGAACTAAATGGCCCCGTACAGCTTCAAACCTTCTAGGCACCCCAAAGGGACAGTTAGCCAGAGCACAAAGAGTATATTGACATTCTGAGATTATTTTTCTCTTTGTGAGAACCAGGTCGTGTCAAGAAGAAGGGATGAGGCTAAGCAGATGAGAGGCCATGAGGCCCTGGAGGAGGCTGAGCACACAAACAAACTAGATGTGACAGGACTGCTGGGCAGGGCCAGGGCAGGCTGCTGGGCGAGAGCATGGCTTCCCTCTGGATAAACACACTTACCTCTCTTCTAGCTCTTCAGTGGTTCACGTGCCTGGAGTGAATGATATTCAGTCCTCATCATCGACGGGCCAGAACATGACCCAGATCTCCCGGCAGCTAAGTCAGAGTCAGGCTGCATGGACAGGGAGCCGTCCACCCTTCCCGGGACAGGTATAGCCCTGGGGTCCCAGAGCCCAGAGCATTGTGATGTGCTTCTTTGGGCCCCAGCTCTGAGGGCCAGTCAGCACTGCTGATGAGAGCTGACCACCCACCAGGATGCATCCCAGGTCTCTCACAGTTGCTGGGAGGGCGGACAGGTATTACTGGGTGAGGGAGCTTGTGGTGTTCACCTGTGGGAACTAGGGAACTCAACTCATTGTTTCCTTGGGGGTGACTTCAGCCAGACTTACTTCAGTGTCCAGGACCTGTGCCCAGACAGCTCTGAGGGCCATGGGAGTCCCAGTTGACCCAGAGCAGGCCCTGCCACTGCCAGGAGCACCTGCAGGGCATCGACCGGGGTTAGCAGGAGGAGGTGGCTGGTGATGTCTCATCCTGATGATAGCAAATCCCTTCGCAGTCCAGTAAGACCCAGTCATCTCCCTTTGGAATTGGGACGAGCCATACCTACCCAGCGGACCCGGCTTCCTACAGCCCTCTCTCCAGCCCGGCCACCTCCTCACCAAGTGGAAATGCCTACTCCAGTCTTGCCAACAGGACTCCAGGGTTCGGTAGGTGGGAAGGAAGGGACGCGTTCTTGGGAGCCACAAAAATGCTTTCTCAGCATCCTGTTTAGGAGCTGTCTGCATTCCCAGAGTATCAGGACGAGGTCCTGAGTTTCTAGGAGCCTTTGCTCTCTCTGGGCAGAAAGAGGAGGTTCATGGTGCTCCTGAGATGCTGGATGCTTAGACTTCGCCCTGTGATTTGACTTTATCATTTTCAAGGGATGGGGACTGTGTTCCATGCTCTGATGGCACCTAACTGCTGTTGTCACCCTTTGTGTCCCTTGCAAGGACTGTCAGGTCCCCAAGTCAAAACACTGTCATCTTGTTTCAGAAACTATCGAATGCAGATATGAGCAACTGTACTAACACTGTAAAGCTCTTTATTCAGTATTGCAAGGGGAAAAAATATTGCAAGAGAGAGATCACATAGCATATGAGAACAACGTCCCATCCTCAGCTTTGTTAATGAAACCTCAGGCTGTAGAGGGTCCTCTGCCCTGGGCATTCCTCGGGGTTAATGTCTGTCCCTGAGCCAGCACCCCATGCCACAGAAGAGGGTCCTAGTGATGTGTGACACCCAGCTGGGAGGTGTGACCCTGAGCCTGGACATCCAAGTTTCCACATGGCAAGTTGTGAGCTTTAGTTTAAGTGGCTTTTCTGTCAGCCTTACCAGCTCAGCCCATGGTGTGGGGTCCTCAGCCGCCCTCACCCTCTGACATCCCCCATCTGTGGCTGTACTTCTGCTCTTATCCTGGGGCCTGGGCTCAGCATTTCTGGTCACCTGTTCATCCCCAGGAGTCAGTTGTCCTCCTACATCAGCCCCCGTATGAGTGGCAGGTGTGCATGTGCCATCTCTATGTGTCTTTGCCATGTGGCTCAGTGGCCCTGAGATGAGAGGACCTGTGCACTCCAGGAAGAAAGAGGCCTCTACCAGGCATTCAGGTCAGCCAGGCCCCGGCTCACACCATCCTGAGGCCGAGGTCTTAGATTCCCCTACCTGTTGTCATGCATGAGAACAGGCTCTGCACCTGACCCTCGCCTGGGTAGGGAGAAACCCTTGCGGCCTCCTCCCTAGGTGGTCTTAAAAGGCTCAGGGTGCCGTGGGTGCTTAGGCCATCCCGGAAGCTGTGGCTACCTGCTGGCACTGATTTACTCACCTAGGCCTTTGTGAGAGCTGGGCCCTGTGTGGAAACAGGGAGGGCACGGGGCACAGTGCACCACTCAGAGATGGGCCCTGGCAAGTCAAGGGAAGAAGGATGCCAGGTCTGCAGGAGGCTAGCATGGTCACAAGTCTGTCTCACGTGCCTCGTAGCCTCTTGTTATGGCCATAGCCATGGTGGCCAGGCTGCTCCTGCCCCAACCATTTCAATTCATTTAATGTTTGCCTAGCCCTAAGAGAAAGTTTATCATCATTCCCATTTCACAGGTAAATAAACTGAGGCGCAAAGCTTCATAGCCAGTGAGAGTAGAATCATGTGTAGGGAGCCGAGCAGGGAATCCAGGATCATCAGGAACAGAGCCCAGCACCTTTCAGCCAGCGGGGTTCAGAATTGACAGGGCCTTCATCTGCATTAACGTGGAGGGAGCTGGAGCCTTGTCGGGGCCTCACACTGGCCCCCATGGTGAATCAGACAGAAGTGGTGTGAGAGGCAGATGCAGTAGTGGGAGCCAGGCTGAGATGAGGATGGAGCTGCAGAGCAGGGCAGTGGGGAGGGTGCACTCAGGCGTGGCTGGCCTGGCCTCTGATGGGGGGGATGCACACCAGGCAGACTGGGGGTCGGAGAAGAGGCTGCTGAGCGAGGTCAGCTGCGGCTCCGCAGGGCATCAGGAAGCAGGGAGGAGAAGTGTCCAGGAAGAGAACCAAGGGGTCGGGGCCAGCAGGGAGGTGCAGGAAGCTGCACAGTGAGAAGGCACCAAGCAGGCGCCACCGAGCATCAATTCTGTGAAGGTTAAACTAGCCATTAAAACCATCGTGTGTACATCGGAAGGGGGCAGCTGTGCCAGTCTGGTGTAGGCCCATGGCCATAGTGGACACAGCCGGGCTCCCAAACATGACAGTGCCCCCACGGGACATGGCCCCAGCTGGTCACCTGGCATTGGAGCCCAGACACAGCAACCAGTTCTGGCCTTGTACTCTGACTGGATGATCCAGCAGGCACCCAGTGACAGCCCAGGGGTGACATTGTGGGGCGGCAAACATAACATGTCACCTTGTGCCAGTACTTTAGCAGCAGCTGGGCTCCTTGGGTGGCTTTGTGGCCTAAGTTCACACCCTGAGGGGCCCTTTGCTCCCTTCTGTGCCCTACAGGTTGGTTTCCATCTGAGCGTTTCTCCCACTCAAGTCTGCTGAGGTCCCAAGCTAGACAGTGTCACAGCCTTAGCCTCTCTTTCATTTTGGTTCGGGTCACAGCAAACACCAAGTCATGTGAAAAGTGGCATCCAGAAGCAGAAGTAGGAATCCACAAACCCCCTGGCATGGTGAGCTCTGTCCAGCTCGGCTGTTTATTTTCATGATGATACAGTGGGAAGACGTGTGCCTGCCAGACTGTGTCAGGAGACAGGAACCACGCCAGTGACTTTAAGGGGGATGTTTAATAAGATCTGGTAACAGAGGAGCCTGAGGAATACAGGAAAAGCCAACGTGAGCGGCAGCTTCCTGGCCTAAAATGGAGGGGGAGTACACAAAACAGAAGTAAGATCTTGGAAGAGGAGATCCAGCCCTGTAAAGCCTGAGGCTTGGCCTTCATTGAAAAGGCACAAATGCCCAGTAGATGCAGGGCTGACTGGCAGACTTGCAGGGCACCAGCTGTGGCTGTGATCCTGCTATCTGAGCAGACCTCTAGAGGGCACAGGTGGCCAGAATCTGTAGATGTCACCCACCAGGTGGCCCAGATTCATCCACAAACAGAAGGACACTGCCTGTAGGTAGACTGGCTAACTGGAGGCAGAGAAACAGGGTGAAAAGTGAATCCCCTGGAGCAATTGCCCATTGCTTTAAAACAAAAAAAGCTACTTGGCCATGAAGGGAGAAGCCCCCCTCCTCTGCTGGGCTCAGCCTGTCTCTCCAACACCCTCCACTGACTGAACCTAATTTTGCAAAAGATGGCTTAGGAAATGTGTTTACAGCAGAGATCCCCAACCCCAGGGACATGGACCAGTACCAGTCCGTGTCCTATTAAGAGCCAGCACACCCAGCAGGAGGTGAATGGTGGTCCAGTGAGTGAAGGTTCGTCTGCACTTACAGCCACTCATTATTGCTGCAGTCACTACCTGAGCTCCATCTCTTGTCAGATCAGCATCAGCATTAGATTCTCAGAGAAGCTCAAACATTACTGTGGAGTGCACATTGCAAGGGATCTAGTTGTGTGCTCCTTATGAGAATCCAAGTGCCTGATGATCTGAGGTGGAGCTGAGGTGGTGATGCTAATTCTGGGGAGCAGCTGCTAATCCAGATGAAAATTAGCAGAGAGGTCTGACTGCACAGAAACTGTAATAAATCAATTGCTTGCAGACTCCGATCAAAACCCTACTAATAATAAGTGGAAAGTGACAATTGAGTTACATCTGCTGGCAGGCTGTATAGCAGCAGGTGAGTTGATATGCTTCAGTTGTACAGCTGCTTCCTGTGACAAGCTTTGTCAGAATCCAACACTTATTTTAGTTGATGCATAACCTCTCCATTTTTTTAACCACTTTCATTAGGACTTCACTTGTTTTAGTGACAGTTTCAATAAGCCCACAAGCTAACCCTAGCCAAAATGAGTAAAAAACAGCCTTGGAGAGCTTTTTTTTTGAAAAGAAGGAAAGACATAATGATGAGACAGCAGAAGACTCTTAGATTGCCAATAAAAAGAAAGCTGCATTTAAAAGAAAATACCAAGAATCCAACTTAAAATTTGAATTCACTGCAACAGGTAGCATATATTCCAAGCCTCCTTTGTGTAATATGTGGTGATCAGGTAGCCAACAAAGCCATGAAACCTTCAAAGCTGCCTCTCTACATGGAGACCAAACACACTGCACTAATAGACAATTCTTAGAGTTTTCCAAAAGGAAACACATGTAAACATGAGGAACAGATGTAATTATTGAAGACTGCCACTTCATTGAATGTATCTATGCTGAGAGCATCGTCTCCGAGTGGCTAACAGCATTACTAAAGCTAAGAAACCCTGTACTGTTGATGAAGAGTTGACCCTACCTGCTGCTGAGGACATTGTCATGAACTTTTAGGCTGGGCTGTGGTTCAAAAGGTGAAATGTGTTTCTCTTGTTAGACAGGATTAAGGAGTCATTGTGGAATGAACTGCAAGTTGGTGAGTCACCAATATAAACTCAAGGACAAAGAAACAATGCTTTCTGTGCGGTATGTTTTTCAGGAGGAGGTGTGTGAGGCTGTGTTGTGTGTACTTTTATTGCCAACCAGCACCATGGCTGCAGAACTATTCATGTCTTTGAATGCTTACATAACAGGAAAAGTGAACTGGCCATTTTGCGTTGGATTTGTGTTGGAAGAAGCAGCTGTCATGACTGGACAGGTTTCTGGCTTCACTACTTGGGTCAGAGAGATTACTTCTGAATGTGTGTCTATACATTGTGTTGTCCATAGACAAATGCTGGCTACCTGAAAAATGTCACCTGAGCTTACCAGCGTTTTGCAGGATATGATTGAAATTATCAACATATTCATAAAGTACATGCTGTTAATGTCTGTCTGGGCAGCCTGGTGAGGAGGTAGAAGCAGAGCACATGTCTCCCTTTATACCCAGAAGTGAGGTGGCTTTCTAAAGGTAGATCACTGGCAATGGATTCTGAATTAGGAGAGCCACTCCAGAGATTTCTGTTAGAAAAACAGACAGCACTGGTAACACATTTCAGTGACGTAGAATGGACTTACTTGTATGACATTAATGTATTCAATGTGTTCAGTGAATATCACTTCAGGGGATAATGAAACTATATTCAAGTCAGCAATAAAGTGGCTACATTCAAAGCCAAACTGGAATTGTGGATATGATGAGTGAACCATGGGATTTTTAATGGTTCAAACATTAGCAGAGATTTTGAAAGAGACTGAGCCAGGGCTTTCTTTCTCCCAGCTGGTACACGATCGCCTATCTCAGCTTCCAAAATAGTGTGAGCATTACTTCCTAACTGCAAAAGACTCCAGAATTGGGAAGGAATGGGTCTACAAACCATTTGTGAATAAGCCAGGTGGACTGACTTTTTTCATACTGGAAGAGGATTGATTGTTTGAGATAAAATATGAATGTGGCCTTCAAAGTGTGTTTGAGACAACTTCAAATCTCCTTGCCTTCAGGATTAAAGCCAAGGAAGAATATCCCGAAACTGCCACTAAATCACTGAAAAGCCTCCTTCCATTTCCAGCATCCTGTCTTTGTGAAGCAGGGTTTTCTTCAGTGATAGCAACCAAAATGAGATTACAGAGTAGACTGGATATCAACAACGTACTTCAGGTGTCACTGCGTAACGTCACCCCCAGACGAGGGCATCTAGTTGATGGAAAACAAGCTCAGGACTTTCACGGACTCTGCATTATGGTTGAGTCATATGATTATTTTATTATATATTACTGTGTTATAATAATAGAAGTAAAGTGTACAATAAATGTGATGTGCTCGAATCTTCCCCAAACCACCTCACCCCATCATGGAAAAATGATCTTTCATGAAACTGGTCCCTGGTGCCAAAAAGGTTAGGAACCACTGGTTTACAGGATTACAAACCAAGCAAGGAGGGAGAATTTAGAGCTGTGAGGCAATAAGATGGTAGCTACAGAGATGTGTGTGATCCGTATCCCTAGTTGTCAGCTTCTCTGTTTGAACTGCCACCAGACTCTGCTCACTGACATCAATATAGTGTTTCTTGTGGAAATGTAAGGAGCCAAGCACAAAAGGTCTCAGAGACAGAAGTGGCTCCAAAGTGCAGCAGAGACCAGATTTTCATTCCCTAACTTTTGCTAAGGTGGCACAGTACTTTCTTAGCAGTTTGCTTCCAGATAACAGCAAGCACGGACACATCCATGTCTTCTTATTCATGCCCTTCTGTTCAGGATGAGGTAGCAAAAGAAACTCATTCCTGCGTGACACATCATATCAGGTCTGCACAGATCAAGTCAGGTCATGGCAGGTGAACCGAAAGCGCAAGAGACATATCCGTGACATCGCCTTTCTTTAAGAGCCACACCCACCTGGCCACCCCACCCAGCCAGAATGACTTTGAGAAGGAAATGGAAGGATGTGTCTGGCTATTTTCAAGGTGAGAGTTAGGATGCATAATTAGAGAGGAGCAGGAGAGGGGGCGCTCAGGGAGGGAGAGGACAGGATCCTGATAGTCTTGAAACATTTGCAGACTAGACCTCTCTGTTCCCACAAGTTAGTGCTAGCCAAGAAGCCTGGGGAGTGGCTGGTCCTGGCTGAGATGGCCTGGAAGGGATTTATAAGAGAATGAGATGCCCCTCTGGTGTTCTCTGTTGACTTTATCTCAACCTCTACACTAGACTTGAGGATTGGATAATTCTTTGCTGGGAGGGCCAATCTCTTTATTGTAGGGTGTTTGCCAGCAACCTCAGTCTCTACCTACTAGTATTCTACTATTTAGGATAACAGGAAATGTCTGCACATTGCCACATATTCTCCAAGGCTAACACAATCACTCTTGGCTGAAATACTGAGATAAACCAATCCCATAGCCACCTCTGAGCAGGATCTCAAATGAGTCTTGAGTCTTAGGGCAATTTCTAAATCAGCTGAGGCACCCAGGGAAAAGAGTGAAATTATAGCATCAAACTTCAGTTAAAAGAAAGGAAAATGCCATCCTGCCTCTGTAACATAGGAAAGCACAAGCTCTTCAAGATTCTGACCCAGTTTCTGGAGACCCCCCAGCTGGCCCAGGTGGTGGCTGCTGTAACACAATCTGCCAGGAGACCCAGCTTGGTGGGTGGTCCAGGCATTCAGCCACAGTGGCAGGAGCCTAGGTTTTGCTCAGTAGCCACACATAAAAGAACCCAGCTCGTGTGACTACACACATGCCCTTTTTAGATGTCAGGGACCACTGGCATCCTTCCAGAGAGAAGCCTGTGTGTGCATCACCGCCTGATGACTTGTGTGTGCACTGCAGGTCTCCAGGAGGTCATGTCGTTATTTAGTCAGACATCACTGGCCCAGTTCAGATCAAGCCTTTCACTGCCTGCTCCCGGAGCTTATCCTGCAGCAGAATCCTCTGGGCCCAGTGGGCTTGGGTCTCAGGCTGCAGCAAGGAACGGTATGCCCTCCTGCATTTCACAGAGCTCTTTGCTGGCTGTTCTCATTATGAAGAGGTGTTAGGAGCATGAGTTGTATTGAAGCCCTTTGTGTCTCAAGCAGCAAGCGTGAGCTGGGAGTAGACTTAGCCCTGAGCACTTCTGACCTCACCTGAGGGTTACCCAGAATAGGAGTGGTGTGTGCCTGTGGCCAGCCTGGCTCTGAGAAAGGGCGAGACTGCGCAGGATGGACAGCCCACTGCTCCTCCTAATGAACACTGCGTGAGCAGTATTGTCCAGTGATTTAAAATGGCAAAGGTTCCTAAGGTGTGATATGCCTTACTGTATCTGCCTTAAAGGCTATTTTTTCCTTAAGAGCACTTGTTGGCTGAATCTCAAAGACATTTTAGACCACATTCTATTCATTTTTCTATTTTCTATTGTCCCACTTGGGTATTTTTCATAAACTGTAGACAGAAGCAAAGCCATTCTCGTTTGTAAACCAAGTTGCAGATCCTCACAGAGGAGCGTGTCTTCCATCTGAGCGGTGTCTGGATCTTTCCCTCATAGGCCAGCTGAAAAGCTCTTGGCCAGAGCTGGGCAGGAGAGAGATGGTGGGGCCTCAGCAAGGCCTGGGGGACATTGGAGGGCCCAGCTGGGGTGAGGAGGGCCATGTGTGAGGCTGGCGGTTCTCAGGAAACCTGGGAGACCTCTGCCCTGGCAGTGGTACCTGGAGAGTGGCCTGTGGCATCTGGAGGGCAGGGCTGCCCTTGAAGAGGGGGCCTCTCTCATCCACTGTGGCCTCTGTGGATGTCTTACTGCCCCAGACCTAGGTCCACGGTCCTAGGACAGAGGCCTCCATAAATGGGCACAAGAAGTGTGGGAGGCTCCGGGGCTTAAAGGACATCCTCAGTCAGAGCTGAGGGCTCCAGGTCTCCTACCTACCTGGCTCATCTTCCTTCATTCAGGGTAGGTGGGAGAGCTGCTCTGCGGCAAATGTGCCTTTCAGGAATGGGAGTGGGGAGCCCTCTGCATGCAGGAATGGGGCCGTGCTCCAGGTCATAGGAAGAAGGGACCCAACTGGGCCCTCCAAGCCGTGGTGGTTCTTAGGTGTCACGGAGCCAGGGGCAAATTTTAAGGCAGTGTCCCATGCGTCGGCTCTTTCAGCTGAGAGTGGACAGAGCAGCGGGCAGTTCCAGGGGAGGCCCTCAGAGGTCTGGTCGCAGTGGCAGAGCCAGCACCACGGGCAGCAGAGCGGTGAGCAGCACTCCCACCAGCAGCCTGGCCAGACTGAAGTGTTCCAGGTAAATCGAGCGAGCACCGCCTTCTCCTAGGTACCGGCGCCTTCTCTCTGCTTCCTTTCCCCCTCATCCTGCCGCACGCTGCCTGACCCTACTGAGCCAGCAAAGTTCTGGCTGCCCTGAGCTAGAGGAAGGCAGGAATAGTATGGCCCGCAGGTGCCTTTGAGGCAACACGCAGGGGAGGCTGCACTGGGTGCCCCTCCCTGCCCAGTGCCGGGGTTGCCTGGAGAGGTGCAGAGCAGAGGCTGAGGGGCTGGCCTGGGAGGGCGCACAGGGTCCCCAGAGCACAGGCCTCCAGCTGCCCTGCTGCCTTCCCCCTGCGCCATACCCAGGACAGGCCGGCAGGTTTCCTCTGCGCCTGGGCAGACTCAGGCAGTGGGATGGGCATTGCTTCTACCCCAGTCAGTGCTTTGGCTCAGCAAGAACACTTTCCCTAAAGGCTCTGGGCAGGCTGTGAGCCCAGGGACCCTCAGCCAGAGCTGTACACCTCTACACCAGTGCAAGGCAAGGTGAAGGAGGCAGCCACATTGAGTTCCTCAGATCGCCTCCTCCCTCCTGAGGGTCCTCAGTAGCTTCATACTCATCCTGAGATGTCCTGAGGCCAGAGCAAGAAGTGTCCTAACAGAGAAGGGTCCATAGCCAGGTGTCCCTCGGGGCCCCACTGAGGCAGTGCCCTTTTCAGCCTGCAGGGAGCCCTGACCCAGCCTCTGGCTCCTCTGCACAGCTGGGATTCTGGCCTCCTCCAGAGAGGCCCCACCAGGCAGAATTTGCAAACCAAGGTCACGATGCTGAAAAGAATTCTTGGTCAAATAAGTTTATGAGACACTGGTTAAACAGAGTTACTCAGTTTCTTTCCTGCAGGACATATCAGAACCTTTATTATCCCAGTGAGAATTCTAGACTTCTAGGAGGTAGGCCAAGTATGCCTTGTTTCCCAAACTTATTTGTCCACAGAATTCTTTTCTCACAGACGATCACAGGAGCTGGGCTTTGACAGAACACCCAGTGAGACACTGGCAATTGCTGCTCCTGTTTTCTGACGGTTAGTCTGAGTCCAGAGCCCTTGCAGGGCAAAGCATCTTGGGGAACTGGAGTCTGGCCCTCAGGGATGTGGTCCTGCCCTCGGGATCACACCCCTGCTCTGTTCCGCCCGGCACTGCATTTTTGTTATGTTTTGCTGTCTGTGAGGCTCTGGGCTGGGTCTCTCTTGCCCACCTTGATCCCCGGCCCAATGTCAGAGGACAAAGATGTCACCTGCTGGCCTGCCAGCCCCAGTTAAACAGTCCCAGGGACTGCGCTTCACAGGCTGGGGTGCTCTCCCAGCCACCCACTAGACAGGTGGCCACGAGGGTGAGTGGCGGGTGGGGCTCGGGGATGTTCCTGGTTTTCGGGGCAGAGACGCTGACCCCTATGGCTTGTTCTCTTTTCTTCTGCAGGACATGCTGCCCATGCCAGGAGACCCAACCCAGGGGACTGGCAATTATAACATCGAGGACTTTGCCGACCTAGGCATGTTCCCGCCCTTTTCTGAGTAGCTGTGGGGCAGAGCAAGGCTTCCCTGTGCGGGGCCACCACGCTGTGACATCAACACCCAACTTGCCCTGCCGCAGGACCCACCACAGTGCCCTTGTCCCTGCACGCCCCCAGGCATGGCACTACTCAGCTCTCACCCATAGCTGTGGCTTCTCTGTTGCTACTGACCAGGGCCCGGCTGGACATCTGGGGCTTGGTTGTATTTATTGTATTTGCTCTGTGCGTGCTCGGGAGATGAGCTCTCTGGCCCCCAGACTCAGCTATGAATATTTCCTTTTAGGCGGTGTCCACCGTACGGAGTTCACTTGATACTCAGAGCAGCAGCAGGCCTGCCTGGGACTCTGGAATCAGCTTCTGCTTGCTTTTCACAGCTGCTGGCTGGTGGCCTGGGGTGGGGTAGGAGGCAGGGATGGTCAGGGCCTTTGTCACACCCGGACCCAAGGAGTGTGGGGACTCAAGGATGCCCACTGCCCTGCTCTTGTGCCTGTGGGCCCATTGTGACGTGGATGTTTGTGCTTTGCATGTTGTGCCTCATGTCTGTTGTATGTGGCCAGAGTGGGTGTGCAGAATTCAGACCATAAGGAGACTGAGAACCAGAATACACAGCCCCTGCCCCTCCCAGTACTCTGCAGTGTCCTCGCTGAGATTGCTGGCGCAGGGCAGCAGGTGGGGGGGACCAACAGGCTTGCCCTTCCACGGTGTCGCCAGGGCTGGGGACCTGCTCACTCTGAGGGTTCAGTTCTTCAGTCTTTGCCTCTGCTTTGGAACCAAGCTCCTCTGTGTAAGAGTAGAAGCCCTGTTCTCTTCTCAGAGCCCCAGGGATCACTCACATCTCTCAGCAACAGCAGGGCCAGAATGCCTGGCCTCCTGGGCCACTTCCTGGAGTGGATGGGAGCAGCTTCTGTCTGGAGAGGGCACCTGATTCTCTGTCCCCCAGAGGGACACAGAGCACACAGGTCTGCAAGGCAGAGGACAGGGCTCTGACTCTAATGGCAGATCTGCTCCTGCCACACAGTGTCCAGGGCCCTGAGTCCCCGGTGGTCTCAAGACAGGAGTTCTGGCTGACTTCCAGAAGCCTCTGCCTGCTGCCCGTTGAGCCCAAGGTTCCTGGCTTACTATGTTTGGCTTTCACAGTCGCCTGCCTCCTCTTGCACCCTTCCTGGGTGAGGGCTGTCTCCACCCCGTCTTTTGCCTCTTTTCCCACCAGTCACCTCATTCTCCCACCACCACCCATCAGCCTGCTGCTGCCCACATGGGAGAGAGGAGCCCACCCTTGGGAAAGCCATGGGGTCCCTCCAAGCGTCCCTGCAGACACTCTGCATGGCACCATGTCCCTGCCAGTGGATCCTTGAGGTCAGGGGAATGAGTGAGTGGAGGGAACCCCAGTGCAGGGAAGAGCAGGGCCACTGCTCTGGTTCCCCGGAAGCTCTGCCTGGTGCCCAGGCTTTCCTGTCAAAAGCCAGCCTTCATCAGCAGGATGCCCTCCCCTAGGACCTGGCCTTCTGTGATCCCCATTCTGAGAGCAGCTGAGCCCCGGTACTGCAGTCTATAGTGCAGCTTTTAGTCCAGCAGACAGCGGTGATTGGGTTTCTGGGTGTAGATGCACGTGTTTGCTCTATCCTCAGAGGAGCTCTAACTGCTGGGGAAATGGGAGTAACCATGGGCAGCCACAGGTTGGGCTCCTTCTGGTGCCACCCAGCACCCTCTCAGTGCCCAGCACGGGGCTTACCCTGGGCAACAAGCATAATCTTTCCCCCCGCCAGAAGGCACAAAACTAGCTTTTGAAGCAAAAAAGTATTTCTCAGTGAAAAGGAAATAGACTTGGTATGGCCTTTAGCTTGTGAGTTTGGAAGGTTCATTTCTGCCCTCTGTATGTCAGAGGACAGTTGGGTGACACCAGAGAGCAGCCAACTGTGCCGCTGTCCTGGTGGTCTTTGCTGAGCCCTGAGGGATCTGAAACCAGCAGAGAGGATCTTGCTCCCACCCACTTCCCATCTGCTTCTCTAACATCAGCAGTGAAGGATTTCTGGTCCTGGGAGGCACAGCCCAAGGACAGTAGTGACCACCAAGGCCCAACCTCCTCCCTCCCTGCCTTGTCCTGAAAGCTGGGCGGCGACCACAATGGGTTCTGATGGGTGGTGTGAGCCCTTTGTCTTTTCTGTCCCTTACTCTGCATTTCATTGTGATTCTCAGAAGCCATCTTATAGACAGTAAGAAAATAGACAAGGATTGACAGGGAAAAGCCCAGTTCTTGACAGAGCTCACAGGAGTGCATGAGACAGTGGAAAAGAATACAGCCCTGAACTGAAGGCTTAGTGTCCTGGTTTGGAAAAGAACCGCATGCACCCATCCCATCCAGCTCGCCCAGGAGGCCGTGGTGCCATTGAGCTCTGATGTGTGCTTGGTCTGCAGCCTGTGCCCAGCCAGGCCCCCTGCTGCCGGAGACAGGTCATTGCTAGATAAAGGGAGGCACGTAGCTTCCTGTAGCAGTAAGTCACTTCCTCTCTCCCCAACATTTCCCAGCTTCTCCTCAGGCTGAGGGCTCCACCATCACTACCGTCAGTGATGACACACTGAGGCTTCACCAGGGCTGGCCAGTAATGGTGATGGTGGCTGGGAAGGTTCTAGAACATGCTGGCTGCATGTTCTAGCCTGCACTGTCCTTTGCTCTGGCTTTGTTGTTATCTCTGTTCAGGGAGTGACAGATCGTCACAGGAGCCACATTCTCCTTCACTTCCCTACATATCAGGTTCAGCCTGCTGGTTACTTTGTGACTAGAGAACAGTGCTGGGGGAGGGGCTGTGCCGGTCCCTAACAGTTTACACGAGTCTGCTGCGTCAGTACAGTGATCGTATCCCTAGGTTAGCCACACCTGCGGGTTTCAGTGCTCCAAACAGCCTGGTGCAGGAGGAGGCAGGCCCTGGTCATTGAGGAAGGCTCAGTGTCCCGCACACAAGCAAGGACCAGCCATGAGCCGTGCAATGAGAACCATGCATGCTCGCCCAACTAGCAAAACTGAGGCTTCACAGGCTGGGCAGGAGCAGAACAGCTTGCTTCATCTAATTTAACAATCGGTTTTCTTAAAGAAAAGAAAAAGATCTCACAAGCAGGCTTCAGTGAACAAGCACTTAATCATCTCTCTTAATCTTTCTTATGGATGTGAACTGTGCTGTGGATAAGTCATTGTTTGTATTTCTTGTTTCATTGTTTTCCATGACTAACAGTTATTAAGTTGGTGTGTATATGTATAACTATTGTAACTGCCTCTCAAATTTTCATTAAAATAAAAACGACTTTGCTCTGAACTGTGAACCCCCAGACCAGCTGTATGATGGACCTACTTACAGAACCTGCCCTCAGTGGTATCTGACATTGGCTCCTTCCTTAGGGTCATTCTGTGTCAGAGTCACTTGTGGGCATTAATGGCCCACCTTTGGGATTCTAGTGACTTCGGATAGAAGAGAAAACTAACAATTCCCAAGTTCCTGTGTAAGGCAAGGCTCTTCAGGAACTTCTCTGCAAATACTTTTTTAATCATTACGGAGATGATCTGTGATTACTACTCTCGCCTTACAGGGACTGGTGAGGTGACTTGTCTGAGAATGCACCAGAAGAAAATGGTAGAACCAGACTGATTTCAGGTCTTACTCCAAAGACCTATAGATACACTGTCCTTTGCAAACACTTGTTTTTTAAAAGACAGTCAAAGAATTAAGTTACTAACACTAACAAATTCTATTTTTCTCTGTTGAAAGAGGGCTGCTTGAAGACCCTTAGCCTTACTGACCAAGGCCATAAAATGCACGTATATAAGTGGACATGGGAGAAGATGGTGTGACTGTGAGCTGGATGTGGACAGCTTGATGGTACACCAAACATACAATCTATCAGAAAACTGGACTTTGGGCCGGGGATTTAGCTCAGTGTTTCGGTGGCCTGCCTTGCAAGCGCAAGGACCCGAGTTCAATCCCTGGTACCCCCCCCAAAAAAAGAAAAAAGAAAACTGGACTTCATGTAATATAAAATACTTCTCAAGAGATACTTTTAAGAGAATAAAAACATAAACCACTGGCTGGGAAGAAACAATTACAAATCATATATCGAAAGAACGCTTAAAATTTAATAAGACAAATGATTTAGCACAAAATAGGCAAAAATATTTAACATACACATTCAAGTTATACCATGGAAGATGTACAGAGGCCAGCTAGGTATGGTGGTACACACCTATAGCCTCAGCTACTCAGGAGGCTGAGGCAAGAGGATCGCCTGAGCTCAAGACTTTGAGGTTGCTCTGAGCAACATAGCAAGGGTCTACCTAAAAAATACAGAGGGCAAATAAGCACATGAAAGTAACGGTATTATTAATATTATTAGTCATCAGGGAAATGAGACAAATTTAGCAAGTGTTGTCGAGGATATGGAAGAAATAGAACTCTTGTGTGGGCAAAGCAGTACAGCATGGCCACTGTTCAAACAGTTCAGTGGTGTGGGGTGCGGGGGAGAGATAGGAGAGAGAGAGAGAGAGAGAGAGAGAGAGAGAGACGTTAGGCATCACTTGCCCTATAGCTTGGTTTCCCACATCTGGTCCCTTCCCAGGAGAGACAGAATGAATATCAACACAAAGCCCTCTCCAGAATATTCATTGCAGTCTCATGTGCAGTCACCAGGAATAAACAGTGAAGGACCTAAGTATCTGTGGATAGGGGACAGGTAAGCAGATCCTGGTGCACAATAGAACACTACTCAGCCACAACAGCGAACGAACTGCAGACGGAAGTGACAACAGAGAAGACACACAAGCCTTGAGCAGAGCAGAAGCCAGGCACACAGAGCATGTAAATGTGTTCTGGAAAGTCCAGCAAAGCCAGGGCCCAGCCTGACCGCAGAACAAAGGGAAGGGTGATGGGAAGGTCCCATATTGACGGGAGCAAGGTATATTCAAAAGACAAAAGCCATCAGACCACTCAAGAAGAGCACATTAAACTACATCATACTCGAGTTTTATCTAAATAAAGTCAGTGTTCAAATAATCTCAGCAGAATGTTTTGTAGAATGCATCAAGGCGATCCCAAATTTCCTGTGGAATAAAAAGGAAACACATTGGGCAACGTATTTTACTGAATCCGTTATAAAGATGAAAAGAAGAAAAGAGGGGGAAAAGAACAAGTATTCATCCTACCAGAGGTTTAATAATTGAAATAGCATAGAGATAGAAACAAGAGCAATAGAACACAACAGTCCGTATATATCCATGCACATCAGACAGGAGTCTTACTGGGAAGTTTGGTGCTCATAATTACAGGAATCAGAGAAGCTTTCAATAAATGGTGTTGGGGGCATGTACATGGGAAAAGAAGCAATGGTATGTTTGTCTTAAAATATGAGGCATGATTGAAAACTATGGTGAATGCTTATATTTTAAATTTATTACAGTAAAAGACACATTGCCATTGATCTCACTCAAAATACTGCCCCTGGGTTCAAATACACCCTAGTTCTTGCCACTTTCTGGAGCAGTTCTGGAAGTCCTCTTTCATGAGTGTCCTGGCTGCCTCCATGTCTCATTCAATTCAAAACATTTTTACCTTTCATGTTTATTTTGACCTTGAAGAAGAGCCAAAAGAATGAGGTGGAGGAGGACGTGCCGTGCTTTTTACAAGCCTGCCTTTCCATTGGATGGCACTTGGCAGCAGCACGCACTGTATTTTTTATTACACCTCAAAAAACATGAAAGAAGACTTCCAGACCTGCTCTGCAAAAGACAAGAGCAATGTGATCAGTGTGGTTGGGTGAGAGGAGTATTTTGAGGGGGATTAATGGTTGTGTGCCTTTTACTGTAATAAAGTTTTTTATTTAAACATTCACCATATATTTCAATCACTCTTGTGGAGAAAAAAATGAATTCTACACAGGTGAGAACATCTCAGTGTTAAAAGTAATGTATGTAGGACATGTAGGAAAAAATCTTGGGAAAATATTCACAAAACTGTCAGGAAGGATTTCTTAAACCAGGCACAAGGACAACGGTGAAGTGAATGATCTGATCGATAAGCTCAAACTCAGTAAAAAGACTAAAAAATACAGAAGAAACTCGATTAACGGTATAAAACACTCACAATTTATATATCCAACAGAACAAGTAGTATTCATGATATATGACGAGTTCTCCCAAATCCAAAAAAGTCTTTTTACTTTTTTGAGTCAGGGTCTGACTGTAGAGTCCAGGCTAGTCTTGAGCTAACTAAGTGGCCCAGGCTGGCCTTGAACTCACAATAATCCTCCTGCCTCACCCTTCCAAGTGCTGGGATTACAGGTGTGTGCCACCAGGTCCAGCACTCAGAAACCAACTTTTAAAAATATGCTTCAAAAGATAACTAGTCAAAGGGTTTGTGTTATCAATTCATAGAAACTCAAGTAACACTAATTCTGTTAGAATAACTTAACTTCACTGATAATTCAGGGAGATGAAAAATTAAGACAAGATAACTGTGCCATTCAGATTGACTAAGTCTGAAAACAAGAGTTGCTGGTGAGGATATGGAGAAATGGGCTCTTCTTCTAGGGGAGGGGAGTACACCAGAGGGTATCAGGAGTGTCAAAGCCACATAAATCCTGTGGTGGTGATTGTAACTCCAGAAAACTTCCCACAGGTATCCAGAGAGACTGAGTTAATCTTGCCTGCTAACTTGATTGGCTTGACGACATCTGAATTAGTAAAGCACAATTTTGGGTGCATCTGGTTATGAGTGCATGACTTTTGGGACTGTATCTGATCCCTGGACCTTTTTTCTCTGGCATTTGCCCTGGGCTCTGCTTTCTGGCACCATGAAGTGAGCAGCTATGCTCTACCACACCCTTCCACCTATGATGTTCTTGCTTTAGAGCCAGCTGACCATGGACTGAACCCTCTGAAACCATAAACCAAATTAAATCTCTTCTCCTTTAAGTTAGAAATGTCAGGAGTTTTGTTCCAGCAATAGGAAAGCTGGCTAATACAGAGACACATATACAGGAGTATTCATTGCTCTGTTAGCAATAGTGAAAAGCAGGAAAGCTGTATTTAGTAGAGAATGAACATACTATTATTTAGTCATTCAGAGGAACCTATTAGAGCACTTAAATGACCTTGATTCAAAATTCTAAAAATATAACATTGACTCGAAAACACTGCATATTTGTATAGCTCAAAGTATTGATATATTTTGTTTGTGAATAATAAATAAGTGATTTTTCAAAGTCCTAGATGGATACACCCAACCCTGGAGAATGGTTGTCTTTATAGAGAAGAAAGATGCAGGCAACTGAGGTGGCTGAATTCCTCAAAACAGATTCAGAGAGGAAGGAGGAGGAGGAGAGAGGAGAATTGTCAGAAAGCAAAGGGAATAGAACAAGCATGTGAAGCAGTTATGACAAAGTGCTAAGCAGCTGCCTCACCCCAGGATTGCCCATATGGGCGCCCGTTAGGCTTTCCTCAAATCTGCTGCTTAATGAAAATATTTGATAATTAAACTTGAATCAGCAAGCAGATACTCAGTCTCACAAGTAGTCAGAGAAATGCAAATTAAAGTAACAGAAATGTGACATGTCCCACCCCAACGGGTTGGCAAAAGTGAAGTGGCATGTGAAGGGATTTTTAAACTTATTTTTTGGCAAAAATTACAGATTTTGTCACCACTTTCTGTGACAATAATGTGGCAGTGTCTACTACATTAAATAAAACTTTATCATTTTGGATACCTTGCTTCTAGAGACCCATCCCAGTAAAATTTCGTAGTGGGGTAACAGCTGTAAATGAAAGCCCACTGATAAAGAAACAGATGAAAAGTTGGAAGATACCTTTATCAGTATTTGCCTCAAAACATTAACAAAGACAAGAAAAGTATAGGTAATATTAATTTATTTTGATACAATAAACATACCAGAAGCACAGTGAGTTCATTGTGGGTATAACCGTGCATGAGCGCATGTAGCAAACGTGTGAATCATTCACACAAGGCTGTATTTGGAGAGAAGAGAACTATGGCAGGGACTGCAGAAGCAGAGAGAAAAATCAAAAATGAAAATAAACATAACATTATTAAATAGATATAAATATAAAATTAGCCGTGTGCTCATTTATATGCATAAAAGATGTGTGCAAATATTTTCATGGTAGTCTCCATGGAGCCTGAGAATTTCCCTTTCATTCGTGTAACTTTTCGTATAACTTACTTTGCAAGAAGTACATTGTATATTAGTTATAAAGTTATAACAAGTAGCAAAAAGCACATTGCCTGCCAGAGTAAAAGGAAAATAAATGATCTGTTACTGTACCTAG